GGGCCAGGGGTAGTGCCCAAGAAGAAATTTATTTACAATTGTGTGGTGAGGGTTTTTGTATTTTGGCCCTAATAGAAGCCCTTGCTAAAAATATGTATCTTCAATCACCTTCTACTTTTGTATCTAGAAGAGAGGGAAATTAGTAAGGTGAGATTAAAGATTGAGAGATTGACTGTAATTTTCATTGATTAGTAGTGGTTCATGACCTGATTATACTTCAAGGATGTAGGTAATGACATTGATTATCAAGCCTTGTTAAGATCCCTGTGTCCTTGTAATTGTTTTCTCTGGTTTTTTAGTCTTACTATTGCCAATCTGGAAATAGGTCTTCTGTTATGTTGCTAACACATTTGAATGCTTCTTAAATGTTATTGGGTACAATCTCATATATGTTATATGAGATGTAGTGCTATGTTTTACATTGTTATTGGATATGTGATTGGGTACCTTCTCATATATGTTATATGCGATGTAGTGCTATATTTTACATTGTTATTGGATATGTTACATGTGTATTAGTCAGTTAACTTCTATAAATGCAGGCTGTTGGTTCACAATTTATCAGGCTAAGCTTTTAAAATAGCTTCATGTTTGTCATACAGAATGTTCTCTTGTAACTTATTAGTTTAAGCTTCTGAATAAAGTGATTATTCGATGATTCTATGTTCTTCAGCTGCATAGCAGCTATTCTAGGTGCTGATGTTATCCTAACTGATCTCCCTGACCGATTGCGTCTTCTGAAGAAAAACTTGGAAGTCAATTTCGAAGGAGGAAACCTTCGGGGTTCAGCAAGAGCTAGTGAACTTACATGGGGTGATGAATTGGACAATGAGTTCATAGAACCACTGCCTGATTTTAGTAAGGATAAGCTAAATAGCACCGATAATTTATTGTGGGGGTATATTTTGAAAAACCCCTCTGAACTTTATAAATTATAAAAGAATCCCTCTGTACCTTCAAAAATATGTTAAAACCCTCAGAACTATTGAAAATTCTCACAGACAGCATTAACACAGTAGAGTAAAAAGTCTAAACTATTCTTTTTTACTTGTTACCTACCCACCCAAAAAGGGTTATATAGAAGTTATATGTAGTAGATATGGGTAAAGTTATCCAAAAGTTGGACAACTTAAAGTAGCCAATCTTGCCACAGTCGCAAGTGGCCTTCGCTCTCGCTGTGGTAGGAACACGTCCCTAAGCCCAGCCACATAGAGACATGTGTCCTTGCTACAGCGCAAGTGAAGTGAAGACCACTTGCGAATGTGGCTAGCATTGGGCACTTAAAGTAACTACCGTCAGTCATGATACTAAAGTGAGACATGTTCAGAGGTTTTCTATGATTTATAAAGTAGAGGGGATTTTGTGCAAAACCTCCTAATGTTCAGAGGGATTTGTGATTTCACCCTTTATTCTATGCGTATTTACTGTGAAATGTTGTGCTTTTAGTACTTGGTTCGGATGTAATATACAGCGAAGATGCAGTTAATGACCTGCTTGATACACTGAAACAACTTTCTGGGAGCCATACAACTATTTTCCTCTCCGGAGAACTACGTAATGGTAAATTTTAGCCTACAGATGTATTATTATTTTCATTTTATGAGTGGCTTGAGATTGTCGAGATATTCATTTTATCAGATGTTGTGCTTGAGTGTTTCCTGGAGGCTGCGCTCAAAGATTTTGTAGTTGGGCACGTCGATCAGACACAATGGCATCCTGATTATTGCAGTCAGCGTGTAGCGATGTTTGTTTTGGTGAAGAAAAGTCAAGAAATGGTAAATATTGGAACGTTTGTTTAATTTGACACAACATTTTGATTTGCTTATGTTTCAGTTTTGTGTTTATGCTGCAGTTGGAAGTCCAAAGGGTTCAGTTGTTGTAAGTTAGGAGTAGAGGAATCAAAGCTGTATGGAGATTTCTATTTTGCATATAATTATTGTAGGTTTAAAACATTTTCGGTAACTTTTTATCCTTGAATGGGTCATTTTCTTCTGTGATTTGTTGTGTAATATGTAACACATTGCATACAGATAAATGAAATGACAGAAATTGTAGATTCTAAACTGCTCAAGGTAAATGAAAAAAAAATATTGGCGAACTACTTTTGATCACAATCATTGATTATTTAGTGGGTGATTGTGATTTATTCTAAATCTAACACTAAGTTAACATCTAAGGTTTATAGTTAATATCTAACAATTAGATTTAGCATGTGATGCCTAAAGTTAACATTTAATAATTAAATTTAACACGTGAGATTTTAAGTTAACATGCCAGGTCTAAGGTTACATTTGATTTAGAAATTAATATAAAAGCTTTGGAATTATTAGATATTAACTTTATCACATGTTAACTTTAGACCTCACATGTTAACTTTAATTATTAGATATTAATTTTGAATATCTCATGTTAAATTTAGACCACACAGGTTAACTTTAAATATTAGATGTTAATTGTAAATTTTAGATGTTAATTTAACAGTTAAGTGTTAATTTCAACGTGATTTTAGTAGATAAATATTTTAGCCAGAGGAGACGGTCTTCAAGCAATGCAGCAACGGTTTTGTAAAAGGAGGAGAGATGTTGTGGAAAGAATAAAAATGACAACGAAGAGGTCGTGGTGACGGAAAAGATTATAGTTGAGAAATAATAAGAAGAAAGAGAAGGAAGATGCAATTGCGAAGGTGAGGAGAAGGAGGGAAAATTATTCATGCCTTCATGAGAAAAAAAAGGGATATTAGAGATTGAGGGTTGGGTAGTTTGGGATAAAGAAGAACTCTCTCTTTGTTGAGGTAACAACAAAAAGAGGGTTTCTTCACATTAGAAGTTGCATCGGGGAGCAAAGCGACATGACCAAAGTCAATGGGATTTGGTCAAATGAGAGTTCTAATTCTAGAGCCTAGACATAATTTTTCCAAAAATATATGCTCCTAAAATATACAAATTCATCCAAGCCTATGTAGGGTGGTTTACAAGTAACCTCTAAAAAGATAATTTTGAAATAACAAAATATATCCTTTTTATATTGCAAGATCTTTCTTCCCTGTTCACCAATGACTCTGGAAACACTAGCTAAATTAAATTAAAGATTTCAAATTTTCACCCTCTAGATTTCTTTCCATGACAACAACCTTAAACAAGTTTCAAGTATGTTTTCCCAAGAGGAAAATGGTAATAATGGAATATTCCGGGTGAAAGAAATCTGGTTCTTGTGCTTAGAAACTTATTTGTTATTTTATTTTATTTTTTTCTAATTTAGTATTTTTCTCATATTCAACCCCAAGTTTTGTGATATGCTCAATGTCATTAAGTTTTTTTTAAATAGCACCGTATCTCGGTGACTCGGTTAAATATCAAGGTTATGGGTGTAGTTTACAAATAAGGGTTTTTGTCTTTGGGTCCAATACTTTACCATGATTTATTTATAAATTTAACTAATTTCAACCGGTATTTATAAAGTCATAGGACTATGTAGGGCTGTCCATTTTACCCGCCGGCCCGGGCCAGGCCCGGGCCCGGAAATCCGGGCCAGGCCGAGTTCCGGGGTCCGGGTGCCTCAGCGGCTCCCGGCCGGGCCCGGCCGGCCCGGACAGTACGGCGCCGGGCATCATCCGGGCCGGCAGCCCGGGCCCGAGCCCGGCCGTGTGGCAACAGTCACAAATCGTGACCGTTGCCGGAAAAAAACCGGGCTGGGTCGGGCCGGGCCGGCCACAACGGTCACCAATGAGGTGACCGTGTGTGAAAACGGCCGGTCCGGGCCGGGCCGGCCGGCCACAACGGTCAACGCAAAGGTGACCGTTGTGGCCGGCCGGCCCGGGCCGGGCCGGCCCGGTCATAACGGTCAGATTTGGCCTTTTGACCGTTTTGCCCCCAAAAACGGTCAAAAAACGGCTATTTTGTGAGGTTATTTTGGTCATTTGCCTAGGGGGCTGGTTCTATAAATAGAGGGGGGTTTTCATTTATTTTCTTCACACCAAAAACTCATCTCTTCTCTCTTATACTCTTATACTCTCTCTTATACTCTTATACTCTCTTATTTATACATTCTAATCCTTTCATCAAATGGCTTCCGGATCTGATTATGAAGAGCAAAACATTTCTCATGATCCTGAAATGAGTCCTCCTACTATAAGTTCTCCTACTATAAGTCCTCCTACCGAAGTTAATCCCGAATCCGGTGGCAACGAATCTGCACCAAGAGCTCCTAAACGGCCAAGATCCGATGTGTGGAATTTTTACGAGAAGATCGACGTCACCAAGGATGAACACAGTAGGATCCTCACCCAGAAGGCTAAGTGTGCTTTGTGCGGCAAGATTTTTCAAGCTCATCATAAGAGCGGCACCAACCACCTCAAACGCCATTTAGATAAACACAACAAAGGCCAGACTCCTCAAGGTGATATCCGACAATCTATGATTTCTCAATCCTCCTCTTCTGGTAGTCTCGGTAGTTGGAACTATAATGCTGCCAAAGCCAGGAAATGCGTAATCAGGTTTATCATTCTTAAAAATCTTCCTTTTAAATTAGTAGAAGATGATGAATTTGAAGATATGTTTAGAGATGGTTTTTATCCTGCATTTAAAAAATTTTCTCGTCAAACCTGTCAACGTGATATTTTAAAATATTATCAGCAAGAACAAGAAAAAATAATTTCTTATTTTAAAAATTTAAACTGTAAATTTTCTTTAACTTCTGATATTTGGACATCTAGAGCACAAACTGGATATTTATGTATCACAGCACACTGGATTGATGAAAATTGGCAAATGTTTAAAAGAGTTGTTTCTTTTATTGCAATAGAAGAGTCACATACTGGTGCTAATGTTGCAAATTTAATAATTGAAGAACTTATGAAATTAGAAATTTCACAAAGAATATTTTCTCTTTCACTAGATAATGCAAGTAATAACAATGTAGCTGTTGATTTTATCAGATCATCTTTATCATTACCATGTCATGGTGATCTTTTTCATATTAGGTGCATCTGTCATATTTTAAATTTAATTGTTCAAAGTGTATTTACTGAAATTAAACCCATGATAGAAAAGGTTAGAACAGTTGCTTACATGCATAGTGCTTCTGAACAAAGATTTAAAAGATGGAAATAATTTTGTAAAAGAAAAAAATGTAAAGCCTAGACTAATTCTAAAAGATGTTGACCATAGGTGGAATTCCATATATGCAATGTTAAGTGTAGCAATAGAATATAAAGACATTATAACTGATTTTATAAACTATTATGCTTCTAGTTCTAGTTCTGGTAGCACTTATGGAATAACTGAAGATGAATGGACAGTTATATGTAATTTAAATGAAATGTTACAAGTTTTTTATGATGTTACCATGTTATTATTTGGCTGTTATTATCCAACCATTACTTTAGCTGCTTTACAAATTTTAAATATTCAAATTTTTTTTGATAAATATCGTTTGGATGCTACTTTTGGACCTATGGTTTTTGAAATGGAGAGCAAATTTAATAAGTATTTTAGGCCTATTCCTCATATTTTTGGTTTGGGGGTTCTTATTGATCCATGCTTGAAGGATATTGACCTTCGAAGTTTGTTACAGTCATTGTATGGTGGACAGGTTATAGACTTAGATGATGGAACCACCCTGAATGCTACTACTCATCATTTACTTATTAGAAATTATTTTCAAACCTTATATGATGAGTATGCAGCTAGACATGGTGTAGCTGCACAACAGTCTGCAGCTTCGGTTTCTTCGAGCTCATCCCGAGCCCGAGGTAAAAGTGTAAGTTTTGATAGGTATGCAATGGTAGCCGAGCTAACTGGTGGATCTGGACTTGGATCGTCATCATCAGAGGTTTCTGAAATAGATGAATATTTTTCTGCTTCTTTAGTTAGATGTCAAGGAAATGCTTTAGATATTTTGCAATGGTGGAAAGTATATGGATCAGTTTCATATCCTATACTTTCCACCATGGTTCGTGACTTACTAACAGTGCAGGTTTCGACGGTAGCTTCGGAATCCGCCTTCAGCACAGCATGTCGTTTGATCGACGATCACAGGACATGCTTGGATCCGTATACTGTACAAGCGGTAATGTGCCTACAAAATTGGTGGAGGTACGAGAAGCGAACGCAAGACATCGATCGGATGGCTGGAATTGAAGATAAATTTGAAGAATTGGGACTAGCAGATAGATATAAAGAATAGATTGTAGTTTTTATATCTTAGCTTAAAATTTGTAAAGAATTATTTTGGAAATAATTGCAAATGATAGTGATATAGGTGAGTAGGTGCCAACCTAGTTGGGATTTACTTATCTATTGTGATGCGATTAATTCCAAAATAAATTTGTACTTGTAATTTGTAAATGATTTATTAATTATTAATAAAGAATTTGTTTTTATCATTTTTTATTTGTAATTTATGTCATTTTAAGTAATTAATAAAATTATTGTTTTTATTATTTTTCTTGTCTTTTTTTATAATTTATAATTTAAATAACATTAAAAAAATTTGGAAAAAAATAAAAAAAAAATAAAAAAGAAAGAAAATCACCCGGGCCAGCCCAGAACCGGGCCCGGATTTTCGGGCCGGGCCGGGGGCCGGGCCTAGGACTATGTGTATTTGCCTCCAAACCCAAAAAACACTAATGCATCCAATATGTGTGCAATATATACAAAAATAAATTGTAAACCCTAAATTAACACTTGTCTCCTCCTACTACTCTCTATTAACTCGTTGTTTTTCATCTTCTCCCTCTTCTTCTTGCTTCCTTTTTCTCTCCTCCTCCTTCATTTCTAAGCACACAGTCTCTCTCACTCCCTCAAGACCCTCCTCCTTCAAGATCCATTCTCTGTCCTCTTCAAACTTCTATCCCATCACAGACTCTTCACCCATGGGCTTCCCCTCTCTCAACTCGGAGCCTAACAGGTAGGACCTATCTTAATACAAGCCCTGCTCAAGAAGGGAGATTAGGCAGCCTCAGATTCCCCAGGATATGATCACTCTGGTAGCAAACTAATGGCTTTATAGCCTGATTTATTTAGTTTTATGCTGGTTATGTGTTTGACGAAATGCCCTTTTGGAATTTTTATTTGTTAGTTTGCTTGATAATTTATTAGCTTTGTTTGGTTTCATGCCCGCCATGTGGTTGACGAAATGCATAAAGTGGGCTTTTTATTTGTTTGCTTATTTTGTTGATTACCTTGATTTAGTTCCATGCTCATTACATGTTTGGTGAAATGTCCATTTGGATATTTGTTTGTAGTTGGAGGATATGGAGCCGAATGCCTCGTCAAAGGCCACAGTATTGAAGCTTGCGGTGCAAGGGATTATCAGAAAGATGGTTGATGAGATGGAGTCTGGGTTAATGATGGAGATGGATTACATGTTATTCATTTTGGATGTTTGGTAGAAGCAAATTCAAGTAGTTTGAGAGAAAGTCGAAGTTAGTAAGGTTCAATTTAGCATTTCACATTTAAATTATGCATTTCTAGAGATGAAAAGAAATATTAGTATAACCTTAGGTTGTTTTACATTCATTGATATGCTACTAATGTTGTATTTATAGTGAAGATATAAAAGTTAGGCTTTCACCAAATTTGGTCTACTTTTGAAGTCTAATTCACGATCGTATTTATTTCACTGCATTGCAAGTTCGGTGCGCGTTGCTTATGGACATGATGAGTATGTATTGTGTATGTGATGTTATTTATGGAGGTGAATGTAAGTGTAACATGTTATTTTGGAAGTGTTGCCAGACATTTTGAAAGTATAGCAGACTATATTTGTTGACAGTGATCTTTAGCGGTCTTGGTTGTATTTTGTGTATACAATAACATTGGATATAACGTGTATGTGATGTTGATTCTATGCATGTTGCTCATGGATATGATAAGTATTTCTTGCATATGTGATGATATTTATGGAGGTGAATGCAAAGTAATGTTATATAATATGCATTTTGTATGGTTTATAGCGGGTTGTAAAGATATTTTGAAAGTACAGTTTATAGCATGTTGTAAGATATTTTGAAAGTATAGTATTTTATTCTGAAATTATCGAAGGTTATTCTGAAAGTATAGCATATTACTATGGAATTATAGCAGATTATTCTGAAAATATAACATGTTATTTTAAAAGTATAGCATTTTAATATGAAATTATAGCATGTTATTTAAAAAGTATAGCATGTTATTATGACAGTATAGCGTGTTATGATGAAAATATAACGTGTTATTATAAAAGTATAGCATATTATCCTGAAAGGATAGCGTGTTATCCCAAAAGTATAGCATGTTATCTTGAATGTATAGCGTGTTATCTTGAAATTATATCGTATTATTATGAAAGTATAGCATGTTATTCTGAAAGTATAGCGTTATATCATATAAATGGCTAAGTGTTAATCATCTACGAGGAGCTGACACATGTCCCTCGTTAACTCAAGACCAGCTCAACCTCTCCCTATACAGGACAACTCGAATGGCTACAACACTCGACCCTTCCCAAGAAGGGCCAAGTTGAAAGACGTCCTCACTGGAAACTCACCAATTGAGCTGACTCAACTCCTCTTCACTCTACAAGGCCGGATCGAGAACTTTCGAGGCTAAATAAAAAGGAGGTACTTATCGGCCCCCTCGCATGACCAAGATGAAAGGCTTATTTGTTGACCTTCTCATAGAGACGAATCGGGAGGTAGTTTATGTGACGCCTATGGGTTCACACAAGGCTGCAGTCTAAGGTAAAATCAAGAATGTCAAACCTGCCATGCACCACACCGTGCAATAACATGTTTCACCATCAAAATTACTATCTCTCTAGTAGAGTCAATAACAGGGGTATGTACAAAAACAAGTAAAAGATAATACAAGAATCAACTGATGAAATAATAGAGATCAAATTAATATTTCATCAGCTAACATACTGAAGTACAAGTCAATGTCTGAAATAAATGAACTGGAGTTCTCAGCAAGTCTCAAATACAAAATGTCTAAATAAGAGGAAATAAGGCACACAACCTTTACAACTTCTAGAAATAAAATCCTCAAATGTCTAAACAGAAGTCTACAGTGGAGCTCAAAAAGAAAAATATACCTAAAACAGATAGTTGAAACTAAAGTGCATCGCCATCAAATCACCGATCGTATTTAGGAACTTACAACATGAGCTTAAGTACGTCGAGCGAAATAATCCAAATAAGAAAACCCTCATGTATACACCTTGTAGCTTAAATTGTAGATCCCTAATGATAAGAGGGTTTTAGTACTTAGGAAATTACAACACGAGCATATGTACGTCGAGCGAAATAATCCAAATAAGAAAACTCTCATGTATATACCTTGTATCTCAAACTGTAAATCCCTAAATACCAAACCCGAAATCTAATACAGGAACAATAATAAAAGAAGACAAACCCATCTCAAATACCAAACCCGAAATCTAATACAGGAACAATAATAAAAGAAGACAAACCCATCTCAGAACTTAAATCCGGTGTCATGTCGTAACTCAAAAGAAGACAAACCCATCTCAGAACTTAAATCCGGTGTCATGTCGTAACTCACATAAGTGTCATGTCCAACCTATGTAAGTATCAGTGTCAATCTCAAGGTCTAAATTGATGTCCAACACATGGACTAAAACTAGATGTAGTGGATGTCCAACACATGGACTACCTATGAAAATTGTCTAACACATGGACTGAATGTGATAAATGTCCAACACATGGACTACACATCATAATTGTCTAACACATGGACTGAATGTGATAAATGTCCAACACATGGACTACACATCATAATTGCCCAACACATGGACTAGATAAAATATATGAACAGATGCATATACCCTAATTTCTCACGTGTCTCGGTGTGCAAATCTAAACTCGTGTCCGCATATCATCTCACATGTAAAGATACAGGTTAAACAATAATTTCTAATACTCGTTATTCGAGGCGACTCCTCGTTCATATTAAAGCACGCAATAACAATAAACAAGCATAAACAGTTTCAGTTAAACTGAAACAACCCAAACAGACCCAAACTGAGGAAACTGAAAAATTCCTTATCAGTCGACTCATGAGTCGACTGGGATTGGTCGACTCATTGGTCGACCAGAACAAAACACAAAACTATAAATTTTTCCGTCAGTTGACTTATTGGTCGACTCATCAATCGACTCATAAGTCGACTCATTAGTCGACTGAGCAGAAAACTCCCAGTTTTTCTGCATCCGATGATTTATATGAAAATTTTAAATCTAAAGTTCTTCTTCATCATGTCCAACAAAATATTTCTGATTCTAACACATGTGTATCAACAGAAACGAAAGATTTGCATATAATAACTTACATTAAAAACCTAAACATATTTATCCATGTTTTAAAATGTTTAAAAACAAAGAAATCACAAAGAAACACATGTTTAAAACTAACTCCAGATCTGGATCTACATTACAAAAACGTTGGTGAGTTTTTATTAAGCTGAAAATGTAGATCTTGCAACTCATAATATAAAACATTTATCTTTATGCACAAAAATACGTTTTAGGCTCAAGAATTCAAAATAAATCTCAAAGAAAACTATACAAACAGTGGGTGAGGACTGGGCGAGATGTTACTCGCCTCTGGTATGCTAGAACAACTCCTGAATCCGAGAGAGGATGATTCTCTTCGATGCACCTCGCCAAAACCCGCTGAAATCCTCCGAAAATCCCCAAAAATCACCAAAAACGAACTAGGGTTTGAGGAGAGAGAGGGGCTAGGGTTTCTCTGGGATTCTGATGGGTTTGGGGTTGGTTTCGGGTAAATATATATATATATATAATACGGTTAAAACCTGAAAGAAAACTCACCTAAACCCGCAACTAAAAAATCTAGAAATCTGCTCGTAAGTCGACTCATAGATCGACTCATAAGTCGACTCATGAGTTGACTAAGCCGGCGTTTTCCAGATTCGTGCATGTTTTGCTTATTTGCCAAAACCAATGCACAAAACTCTATAAAAATACACTCATACATATCTGATAACTTGTTATCAAATATATCTATGACCTCAAGTCATTTACCATAATAGAATTATCTATCACCAATAATTTACATATACTTCTAACAAAAATACGGGGTTTTACATCCTTCCCCCCTTAAAATAATTTCATCCTCGAAATTCAGAAATCATACTCAAACAAATAATATTACTCTAGATAAGCATATAGCGATATTTTGTATTTAACAATCTAGGATGACTATATTCTCACTCAACCCTTAATCAAATGGAACTAGTACGTCGGGCGAAAAATCCAAACAAGGAACCCCTCATATATATACAATGTGTTCCAAAAAATTAAGAATTGAGCAGAAATATCTTCATCTAGCGTTAAATCTAAATATAATCACACAAATAATCATACACATAAATCAATCCACTTCCTCAATAAATGCAGGAAGTAGCGCTACATAGCATCTCCGCGCTCTCGAAAATCATCTTCGATGTCCACACTTAACCATCTAAAATATAAATACCCCCACTTAACCCCTAACTAAATAGAACAAGTACATCGAGCAAAAAATCCAAACAAGAAACCCCTCATATATATACCATACGTTTCGAGTACTTAAGAGATAAGTGGTAATACCCTCATTTTAGTGTTATAAACATCGCCATAATTGAATCTATAATCCATATATAAGTCATACAAAAAGATTTAATTTACCTGCTCAAACATGTGTGGATAGTCGCGACACATGTCCTCTTCTCGCTCCCTAGAAATCTCCTCAACGCCTCTTCGGTTCAACTGAACTTTCACCAAAGGAATTACCTTGTTTCTAAGCCTCTTGTCCTCTCTGACAAGTATACAAACTGGAATCTCAATAGTAGTTAAATCCTCCTGAAGCTCAATCTCTGGTGCATCCAACACTCTCTGTTGCTCCTCATCATGCAAGTGCTTCTTGAGCATAGAAACATAAAATACATTGTGTATACTAGACATCGATGCTGGAAGATCTAGTCTGTATGACACAGCTCCAATGCGTTCCAAAATCCGAAAGGGTCCAATATACCTCGGTGCAAGCTTTCCTCGTCTCCCGAATCGCTGAATGCCTTTCATAGGCGATACTTCAGCATAATCGAATCTCCAACCTGAAACTCTAAGGGTCTTCATCTCTTATCTGCATAGCTCTTTTGTCGATTTTGAGCGGCTAAAATCCTCTCTCTAATCAATGTTGTCTTCTCAGAAGTCTGCTTCACAAGCTCTGGCCTAAGCATTAAGCTATCCTTCGGCTCTGCCCAGCATATCGGTGATCTACAAGGTCTTCCGTACAATGTCTCATATGGGGCCATACCGATCGTCGCTTGATAACTATTGTTATAAGCGAACTCTATCAGTGTAATATGCTCCTCCCAGCTACCTTGAAAGTCTATGACACGAGCCCGCAACATGTCTTCCGACACCTGATTCACCCTCTCCATCTGACCATCTGTTTGTGGGTGGAATACACTGCTGTAAGATAATCTGCTACCGAACGAATTCTGGAAACTCCTCTAAAATGCAAAGTGAACACTGAACCTCGATCCAACACAATCGTATCAGGAACTCCATGAAGTCGGACTATCTCCCG